TCCTATTACCAGAGTGATGACAGTGCAGGTGTGTGTGCACGTGCATGCACACACACACACACACACACACACACACACACACACTCAGAGCAAAGTAAAAATGTAAAACCTGGCAGATAGATCATTCATGATCACTTATATGTTTGGAACATGTATATTTTAGAGCCTTGGGCAGAGGTCAGAATATAAATGGTTATCCCATGATGCTTCATGTTATCTTGCTCATCTTGTTGGGCATGTACATCCATTCTTAGGTGGTTCTTCCCGTGGATGCCCCCGACATGCTTCTGACCTGCTGTAGATCATATGTTCCACTGGAAGGCCAGCGTGGCCCCAGGAGGATGGGGCCCTTGGGGTCTAGTCTCGGTTGTTGGTTTCTGGGGCCTCCCTGTCTCTTGGCTTTCCTTTGACCTCACTTGCAACCCCTCAGCCTCCTTTGCCAGTTGCCCTTTCTCCTGACCTTGATTGGTAGATTGAGGATTGCTGTGAAGGACTCGGTTCTGGTCATTTCTCTTCATTGTCCATATTCTGTTTCTCCAAAAGCACTTAGTGCCATGAATTTATATATTTCTAGATGTTTTAAATTCATAAATCATAAATTTCTTGTTCATATTCCAGACCTGAATAAATAACTGCCTCCTTGATGTCTTCATTTGCATGTATAATTTGCCTCTCCAATTTAATACCTCTAAAGGTGAGGTCTTGACACATCCCAACTTGTTTAACACCTTGTCCTCTCTTTCTTAGTAAAGGGCAACACCTACCTACCTAGTTGCTCGAACCTGGCATTGGCTGCTTATTTCTCATGTTCTGTCGACGACCAATTCCTGCTGATTCCATATTCTAAACGTACCTCCTCAGTTCCTCTCACCTCCTCTCCACTCTAGCTCCACTCACTCTACCTTTCTCTGGCCCAAGTCAACGTCGTCTTTTCTCTAGACGACTGCAATTTTCTGGTCTTTCTATTTCTTCTTCTACCTCTTCATAATTCATTCCCCTCACAGCCTCCAAGGAAATCGCGTCACGTCTCTCCTCTGCTTGAAAACCATCATTGGCTTCATACCACCCTTAAGATAAAACCTGAACACCTCACCCTATAAGATGGTAACCTAGCTAATTCTTCAGTCTTATCTTGGACCTCCCTTTTCCTTGAGCATTCTGCACCCAGCATAGGACTTTCTTTATGACCTTGAACGTCCACGACCTTTCTAGCTCAGGGCTTTTGCCCTTGTCAGTCCAGAATGCTCTTCTCTGCTTTTGGCACTGTGGCTTGCTTTATTTATTTATTTATTTATTTGACAGAGTCTTGCTCTGTCACCCAGACTGGAGTGCAGTGGCACAATCTTGGGTCACTGCAACCTTCACGTCCCAGGTTAAAGCAATTCTCCTGCCTCAACCTCCTGGGTAGCTAGGTTACAGGCACCTGCCATGATACCCAGCTAATTTCTGTATTTTTAGTAGAGACAGAGTTTCTCCATGTTGGTCGAGTGGGTCTTCAATTTCTAACCTCAGGTGATCCACCCGCTTCAGCCTCCCAAAAGGCTGCGATTACAGGGGTGAGCCACTGTGCCAGGCTCCATTCTCCTCTTTTGATTGTCAGTTGAAATACCACCTCTCCAGAGGGAACTTTCCCAGTCACCCTTGCAAAATTGAGTCCCCAGGTTCATTTCTGACATGGCATCCCGTTTATCCTCCTCAAAGCATTTACTGCAATATGGAAATATCTTCCTTATTGTCTACTGTAAACATTTTCTGTCTAGAACGTAATTTATTTATTGTATGAAAATGTATGATTATCAAAGCAGATATTTTGTATAGATCACTGCTAAATTCCCAGCACCTGACACCATGCTGGTACCCAGTAGCTGCTCAATAAATACTTTTTAAATAAATGAATGACCACTATGACCATGGCAAACATCTGAATCTAGATAAAACCACAAAAAATAACATCAAAATCTGTGCTGGTATGAAACGGGTGCTTGGCGAATGCTGGGGAAGCAATCACCTGCCTCTGGAAGCCACTTGGCAGTGTCTACGGATAGAGTTGTGTCTTCCTTCACCTGGGAACTGGTACTTCTGAAGGTGCGATTGTACTCAACAGACACTTTGGAGGAGTGATCTAGGCATAGGGTTTTTCTTAAACTAAGAAATGAGTCTATTTCACTAAACAACTAAAAACAGAACTCTGATTCATGAATTTGCTAATGGCTTTTCCTTCTCAGGGGAACCTCCCCGGGCACAGTGAAACCTCTCTTGGGGCACAACCTCATGCTTGATGTGAAGGTAACCATGGAACATCAGCTCTGCCTGTAGGGTGGCAGGCAGCCCAGCCGAGCTTAACCCACGGGATACTCAAATGGAGGAGGTTCTTGACGCCTTATCAGGGTGTGTACTCTTCTGCAGAGTGCAGGTGCCGTCCCATGCTTTGCCAGGGTTGGTTGAAGACTTATTGACCTAGTTGACAGTCTCGTGCATAAAACTGGCAATGATGAAAACAAACCTGCAGACGAATCATTCATTACGAATTTTGAAAACAAAACCAGAAAGAATCGTGGGTTAGTCAATGTATGACTCATAAAATAACGACGGGTAACTGGATGAAGGTAAAGAGTATCTTCTCTATTGTATTTGTTGCTGGTTTCCTTTGCTTTTATTTCGAACATTTTTTTTTTTAAAACAGAGCAACTTTTGTGTGAAGTCTAAGTTGCTTATTGACATAGCCCGTAAGTGAGAAAACTCCTCTGGATGACTCCGTGTACTTGCCTTCTCTCGCTTCACTGTGACAAGCAAGGTGACAGAATGGAGTGGAAATGCATGAGATGGGCAAGCTGACTGCTTTCCTGTTGTGATGTGGCTTGGAGAAAACAGAGTAAAAGCCCCTTACTCAGGCTATACCTCCCAGCCAGGCAGCATCGGAGGCCCAAGGAGCCATTCACCACAAATTAATGAACCCCTTGGTTTCAGGAACTAGGGACCTTCCTGAGGCTCTGCGTGCCTAGCTAGGCTTAACTTTCACCTCATTGTGAACTTTTCTTTATTTTAAAACTAAAACTCATGCCCAGAGGTGTAGATTTCAGATGCTGATGACACATATGTTGTATGAAGCAGCATGTTAAACCACCACATATGTGCCAGAAAAACCTCACCCCTACATGCCCTGACTTCCCCTTACTGCAGACCCCCACAAAGAAAACCCACACCTTGACTTGGGAGAGCAGCCCACTTCCTTTCTTGGTGTTTGCTTTCTCACATCCGTAAGCTTTCATAAGAAACCTTCTCTTTGCGACTTTAGGCTGTGATCTCTTTTGATTTCTATCCTGGGGGATCAAAAAAGCCCACAGGGTATTGGTACTAGAAATCAGCTGTACAAGCACAGAAGGAGAGCAGGCTGTTGCCTGGCTCAACTGGCAAGGAGAAAGACTGAAGAATGAGCATGCAGTGAGTTCTAAAGCCAGCATCTTTCTTACCCACTCAACACCTGACCCCTTCCCGACACATTCAGGAGCCTTGGTTCTCTCTTTCCTCCAGCCCTCTGAGAGCGAATGCTGCTGAGAACCACCATGGTTTTAAAATACTCCGTGCAATACAAAGAACTCTCAGAGGCAACTTGTGGTTTAAGAGCCCCTTTATGTGTCATTCTCATCATTAACCTCAACGAATGTGTACTAATGATCTAATAATACGCACCAGAACCTATACAAAAACACCTTGTAGTTGTCAGCCAATTTATTTTGGCTACAGCCAGCCAGAAAAGAGGAAACCGAGGCACAGAGAAGCAAATGTCAACCCCACCTGGAACTGTCAGTCTGAAAAGATCAGTTGAGTCTTCCCCTACCAGACCCCAACTTGTCTGGTCTGGTGAAGAAAGACAGAAATGAATGGGAAACCATTCTAATCCCCTTCTTGCTGGAGAGTTAGGGAGAGTCAACTAGTTCCTAACAACAAGTGCTGCCCTACTCAAATATTGCCAAAGGGGTCTTTGTTGTAACATGGCCTACCAGCAGAGGACATCTTTCTGGGAAAGCACCTACAATGTGGCTGGCACATATTCAATGCCCAGTAAATGTAGCTATTATTTTTTCAATCAACACTCTTACATACCCCTTTTCCACTCGCCCTCTTCTCCCTGTTTTGGGGCTGCCCAATAAGCAGAAATTCCAGATGCATCTCCTGGGGGTGGCTGGAAGCAAAGGATCCCCAGGGTGCCCTGTGTCCTGGGCTGCACTATCTCTGAGGTGATTCCATCTTCTGGGTCCTTCCTCACTGGGGCTGTTGCTTCAGGCTCCCAGGTCTCCGCCTGGAAAACTTCTGATGGGAAAGGCATTCATCGACTTGCCACCTCTACCATCCGTTTGCAATCCTCGGAGAGTTGCAGCCTCACCCTCCTAGGCTTGCAAAGGTAGAGGGAGAATTTAATTGGAATTTAAATTGGAAGCTCTTAAGACATCTCAAAAACACTTCCTCTATTTTTTTTTCCCTGCAGATATTGGAGAGGTTGGCAGACGGGTCTTCCTAAAGACAGAAGAATATATGATTTAATGTTTTCTTTAGATTACTGGATGAGTGGATGCACAGTGCTCTGTATTGTGTGGTGGGGCGGGGTGTGTCTTCTTATTGATGAAATACACTGCGCAGGTCAACTCGGTAAACCGAAATGAGAAAAGCCGATTGCGCGGGGTGGAGGGGGTGTGGTATTAGGGTGCCGGCGCTTGTGGAGGGGGGCGTGAATGTGAACGTGTGAAAGGGAGTGGCGTGCCAGGAGAGCGCGGGAAAGCTTACTGGTGAGGCAAGTGTGCGTCTATTTCCATGGCGCCCTGGCTCGCGGCAGCCCCTGGCTGGGCGAGGGGTGTGATGTGGGAGTGGGGTGGGAGGGGGCAGCAGGCGGGGCCTGCCACGTCACTTGGAGAGTGTGTCTTGGGAAGGAAGGGCAGAGCGGAGAGCCGAGCCGCTGCAGCTGCGGCGGCGGCAGAGAAGCCTTGAGCCGTGGGGAGGTGGGTCCCCGCGCCAGGGCGCCGGGGCAGCCCAGGGCCCTGTGCGAGGCCTGCGGCGCGGCTCCTCGGGAGGAGGTGGCAGCTGTGGCGGCCGGAACCGCGACCTTGGCCGGACCCAGCCCCGCGGTGGACGCAGGGCGGAGGCCGAGCACCGCCAGGAGTCTTTGCCGAGCCGGAGGGAGGCGCATCTGGCGCTTCGGTACCAACGGGAGCCGGGGGTCCGGAACTGCTGGAGGAGCGCAGTGGGAACTGGGAATAGCTAGACCGGCTGGAGGGCGGACCCCTGCGTTCCTGAACCGGGTCTCAAGCACCTCTGGCGGTGAAGCCACGCGTCTTTTCGGGCAGCCAGTTTGACTCGCCCCTGTGTGCCGTTCCGGGCATCCCAGTAAGCTCTAGCTCCGGGGAGTGGGTAACGGGAAGCGCAGAGCCAAATCCCCGGCGCCCAGGTCGCCTCCCTAGACCCAGCCTTGCGGGGACAGGGCTTCAGAGCTCACGGACCCGACAGCCAGGTCAGACCGCGAACCGGGAGAAGCGCGAGCCCCACCCTAAAGAGAGGGCGCAGCCGGGAGCTGGGGAGCGGGTGCCGCACTCCAGAGGTTGTGTCGTGGGCGCCGTCCTAGTGGCGGGGAGCGCACCGCCGAGGGGACATGAGATCGGAGAAATCCCTTACGCTGGCGGCGCCGGGGGAGGTCCGTGGGCCGGAGGGGGAGCAACAGGATGCGGGAGACTTCCCGGAGGCCGGCGCGGGCGGGGGCTGCTGTAGCAGCGAGCGGCTGGTGATCAATATCTCCGGGCTGCGCTTTGAGACACAATTGCGCACCCTGTCGCTGTTTCCCGACACGCTGCTCGGAGACCCTGGCCGCCGGGTCCGCTTCTTCGACCCCCTGAGGAACGAGTACTTCTTCGACCGCAACCGGCCCAGCTTCGACGCCATCCTCTACTACTACCAGTCGGGGGGCCGCCTGCGGAGGCCGGTCAACGTGCCCCTGGACATTTTCCTGGAGGAGATCCGCTTCTACCAGCTCGGGGACGAGGCTCTGGCGGCCTTCCGGGAGGACGAGGGCTGCCTGCCCGAGGGTGGCGAGGACGAGAAGCCGCTGCCCTCCCAGCCCTTCCAGCGCCAGGTGTGGCTGCTCTTCGAGTACCCGGAGAGCTCTGGGCCCGCCAGGGGCATCGCCATCGTCTCTGTGTTGGTCATTCTCATCTCCATAGTCATCTTTTGCCTGGAGACCTTGCCCCAGTTCCGTGTAGATGGGCGAGGTGGAGGGAATGGTGGTGGTGTGAGCCGCGTCTCCCCAGTTTCCAGGGGGAGTCAGGAGGAAGAAGAGGATGAAGAGGATTCCTACACATTTCATCATGGCATCACCCCTGGGGAAATGGGGACCGGGGGCTCGTCCTCACTCAGTACTCTTGGGGGCTCCTTCTTTACAGACCCCTTCTTTCTGGTGGAGACCCTGTGCATTGTCTGGTTCACTTTTGAGCTCCTGGTGCGCTTCTCCGCCTGCCCCAGCAAGCCGGCCTTCTTCCGGAACATCATGAACATCATTGACTTGGTGGCCATCTTTCCCTACTTCATCACCCTGGGCACTGAGCTGGTGCAGCAGCAGGAGCAGCAGCCAGCCAGTGGAGGAGGCGGCCAGAATGGGCAGCAGGCCATGTCCCTGGCCATCCTGAGAGTCATCCGCCTGGTCCGGGTGTTCCGCATCTTCAAGCTCTCCCGCCACTCCAAGGGGCTGCAGATCCTGGGGAAGACCTTGCAGGCCTCCATGAGGGAGCTGGGGCTGCTCATCTTCTTCCTCTTCATCGGGGTCATCCTCTTCTCCAGTGCCGTCTACTTCGCGGAGGCTGACGATGACGATTCACTCTTTCCCAGCATCCCGGATGCTTTCTGGTGGGCGGTGGTTACAATGACCACGGTAGGTTACGGGGACATGTACCCCATGACTGTGGGGGGCAAGATCGTGGGTTCGCTGTGTGCCATCGCTGGGGTCCTCACCATCGCCCTGCCCGTGCCGGTCATCGTCTCCAACTTCAACTACTTCTACCACCGGGAGACGGAGCAGGAGGAGCAAGGCCAGTATACCCACGTCACTTGCGGGCAGCCTGCGCCAGACATGAAGGCAACTGACAACGGACTTGGCAAGAGTGACTTCCCCGAGGCTAACCGGGAACGGAGACCCAGCTACCTTCCTACTCCACACCGGGCCTTTACAGAGAAAAGAATGCTCACGGAGGTCTGACCCATGTGGGCAGGGCCTGCAGCGGGGGAGCACTGAGCTAACAGTCTCTTAGGCTTCCTTCTCATTTTCACTACTCACTCTAGCTTCAGTTGACTTCTTGACTCTCTCCCCTACATCCACTACCTGGCATCCAGGACCAAATACCTGGACTATCAGCCTTGTTGGCTAATCCCTGCAGCATTCAAGGTTAATCCATCTAAGTGACGTTTTTGAAATTCCAACGGTGCCACCCAATCATGCCCATCTTCTGTCACATGGATGAGACACACATTCAGGTCTGACCTTCCCTCAAGACTGACTTTTCATGTCTGGGACTTGTAATATCTCCAGGAACAGCAATGTCAACAGGATGGAAGCCAGCCATACCTGAGTCTTTGTTCTCTCCTTAGTGCCCTTTGCTTTGGGTCATGTGCGTTTCCTAGCTTTAGGCCACTTGGTAACTGGAAGAGGCTGGAGGACAGAAGCAGTACTCAACTTGCTGTTATCCCAGTGCTCTGTAACACCCGCTGGGCATCCTGCAGATGACACTTGGCAGTGTCTTTATTTGCACAGCCTCAAAATAGGTTTTTCTTTTGGAAACTTGGGTGGAATTAGAGAAAATACAAGCAAATTTTACAACTTGGAGGACACAGGGGTTAGTACAGGACCAAAGGGGCCAGTGGATTTTCCAAGGCGTGCCCCAGCACAAGAGGCACTGGTGTTTGGTCAACATTGGGTCCTCCCCACTCTGATCCCCTGATTCTCCAGCTTCCAGGAAGGTTCCTTCTCAGAGCCACATACTCTTTTTGTGCAAGTGCCTTCCTGAGCAGAAGAACTGGAGAAAGGGAAGCAGAGTCAGGAGGAGGGTCTGAATAGAGTCAAGCAACTGGCTTGACCACAATCTGAAGCAAGGTGCCACTTAAACAGATACTGTTTTCTCAAAAGGGCAGAGGAATACTGTTGCAGATGGCAGCCTTTTCTCCCTCATTTCCCCCAAGTTTTCTCTAGCCCTGTATCTTGCTTTCTGGGAATTTGATTTAGGATTGCTGTTGAAGTCTTCCTCAAGCAAACTCCAGCTTAAAGCCCCAGGCATCGGAGCGCAGCATAGGTTTCTTCCTATTTTCTGGGAAGTAAAAGCATACATCGGAGAGCAGCATGGGTTTCTTCCCATTTTATGGGCGTGAAATATGTGGTTTAGAATAAGGAACAAGCATTACTCCTTTGCCAACAGCCTCACTCTAAGAGGCTTTTTTGCTGAGTCAAGCAAACGCTTGCCTGCTCTGCCCCTTGGAGCTGCATTTGACCTGCTCTCACTGGTAAGGTGACATGGTGGCGTTCCCGCTTGATCTAAGCCATTTTCTCTCATTGTGAGACCACTGCCATCTGTCCACCTGCCCACCTCCCCTCTTTTCTCTCTCAATAACATTGCCATTTGTTTTTTGCCTTTGATAAACTGTGATGTACTGTTCTGAGATCTTTTGGGTGCAGTTCTGAAACTGAAAGGACTGTTAACATGCTTTTAATTTTATATCTATGCTTTCAGACTCTGACGATAATTTTTTTTTTAAAATTATTTTCTCGAAGAGCAACTTACAAGAGGACAGCCTTACAAGGGTTTGCTTGAGAGGCAGTGTGGCTTCTGTGAGTGCCAGATCTAAATCTCGATCTTGCCCCAGCTTTACAGGGTAACTTGGGTCCACAGTCCCTCTTTGTGCCTCAGTTTACCCACCCATTAAATGGGAACATTACTGTCTTCCCCTCCCTACCTCATGGGGCATGTTTGGGAAGCTGGGGACATTGCTATGCAAATGTGTGAATCTTAGTCACGGATTTGATTTTTAGTTCTCCCTGCACCCCACAGGCAAGGCCTTCCCATTGAGTTCCTGCCTTGGATCCCAAGCCTAAGAATAGGCCATTATGGAGCATTGGCTCCCTAAATCCCTCCTTGGCCTCTTGGACTGAGCTCCTCAGCCTTTCTTCTTACCCTTCAGAAAGGAGGGTTCTCTTTAGATGTATTCAGGGGGATCCTGCAATAGCTGGAGGTCACCTTGACTGGGTGCTTGGCTTCTCCATGCCTGAAATATGGTGGAAGACACAGGTGTTTATGATGTAAAAACCTGCTCTGAGGTCAGAAAGTGCTAGTTTTCCAAACCTCTCTCATGACTGCCAGCTATCTGGGGAAAGAAGAGAAGAGCCCATTCCAAAGGCAGAAGGGAAGCTCCTAGCTGAGGGTAAAAGTTGGGACATATATGCATGTATCTCTGTATATGTGTATGTAATCATCCTCATCACCATCCCTGAGAAAACATCCCCTTTGCAAGTCAGAGCACGCCTGAAAGGGTTTGTGGAGAGCCCAGCTCGCCAGGGACTCTGGTTGCCGTAGCAACCTTCCAGACTGTTCTCTCTATCTTCAGCTTTGGGCATCCAGGGAGACCAGGGGACTACATCTTCCCAGCTTCTCAAATGGGAGCACCTCCCACATAGTGGTTTAGGGGCTGGAAGTGCCAGGACAGGGATGTGGGACTTTTGGAAAATGAGGAGGAAGCAGGGCCCCAAAGCTTCCTGTCTGGACTTTCCTTCCTAGTTTCCCCACCCAGTCATTGAAGCTGCCTCATCTTACTCCTGATTCTTCAGAAATTTGAATGTTAAGCAACTGCCCAGTTAAACCAACGTCGATATTAATTTTTTCGAGCTGCTGAGGGAAGCCCTTAGAGGGGACAACTTATCCTTGGAGTGGCAGCCAGGCTGGGCCACACCAGGAGTGATAACAGTCTTAGGTATCATGGAGTTCCCATCTCTGCACAGACAGGCTCTTCCCACCTCCACGAGAGACGAAGAATTGCAATTTCTTCCTCCCCGGGAGCAGTCTTTCTAGCTTCTGGGAGGAATCTCAAAGATCTTTCTTCTTAAGACATCAAAGAAAAACTGAGAGGCTGTAGCTCAACCTAGTTTCTGGGAAGAATTTTGTCAAGTGATCCTTCTCTGACCCTGAGCCTCTTTATTTGGATTTTGTACCCTGAGCACCAAGAGAATATGCACTCTGTGTTGCCTGGACAGCTGGGGTGGTGATTCACAGACACCAGGAAAGGAAGGGTCCAAGCCATTGCCACACTTGACTCAAGCCGGCAAGAGCCCCCAGAGGACTTCCTGGAACTGCCAGCCTCAGCCTGAGACACGGGATATTCATCCCCAAGAAGCGAGGAGGGACAGCTGGCCGCCTTTGCAGGTGAGGTAGGTTCTACTGGAGGGGAATTTCATTTTTGGCTCAGTCCTGCAGGCAAAATTAGAATGGGGTGGGGAGAGAGAGCAGGTGGGGGAGTTTTTCATTCCCCTTCCCTCAGGGGCTACCTCAATTTTTCTGTGTATTTTTCTTTGACTCCATCAGCTTCAGTTTCCTCTTTCTCTGTGTCTGTCCCCTTGATGCTGCTGGCCTCTTTAAAAAATCGTCTCTTTATCTGTGCATTTTCCCCTTACCTTCTTTTCGTTATTACTGTCTCTGCCTTTCTCCCCCTTCTCTAGTTTTCTTCCCTCTGGTTTACCCCCTTTGTTTTACTCTCTTCCTCCTTCTGTGTGTGTCTTCCTGCCTATCTTTCTCCCTCTCTTCACCTTGTTAGTGGCTGGGAGCACCTAGAGGGTTAGCGTCAAGGTTGCACATTGAACTCTAGGACAGCCGTGCTCGCTAAGGTCTGTCTACAGCAGGAGGATTCTGCTTTTTCCTGACTTCTCACTGCCATTCTTTCCTGCCATGCTCACCTCCTGGGGGCAAGTCCTACACCTGCCAAGCAAGATGAGACTGCCGTGGGCTTAGAAAAATGTCTTTCAGAAATGTCCTGAACCTGCAAGGATAAAGGAGAGAAGGCAGGCTGGGAGGGAGACAATGACACTGAGAAGTCTCAGATGAATCCTCTGCTGAGTAGGCCTGGACCACCTCAGGGTCCCCGACCTCAGAAGGCTGGCAGAGAGGTCAAAGACAGAGGAACAGTATAAATAGTGAAATAAACAGAGAAAATTGAGGGCTTAGGAGGCAGGCATAAGGTGGGAGTTAGCCTGGAAAAAGCCTTAGCTCAGAGATAGCCTTAGAACTGACCTTAATTCACTTGAAGGTTTTGTTAGTATCTGGCTGTCTCCCTCAGGTACTGAAGGCAGAACAAAAGGAAAGGACATAAATCTCAGTGGTGCAAGGTGCAGGGAACACTCCTTCACAGGAGGACTACGATTCATCAGCCAGTCCCCAAAGAGAATTGATGGACCCCTTGCTAGAAGGCTTAGAGCATGGGCTAGCTCCCACCTGCAGCAGGACATCAGGACCACCTGAGGGGCCCTTAGGGGGTTGAAGGTTGTGCTATTACTGTTGGCCCCAGGTAACTTTTGGGGGGTAATAGAAATGCTGTAAACAGGATTGTGATAACAGTCATACCACTCTAAAAATTGAATCCCCAAATCATTGAATTGTGGGGAAAAAAAAAAAGAAAGCAATGAATCTAATAATCTGGGAGTTTTCTATCTGGGCTGGGAGAACGGGTTGGTTTTATATATCTAGAAGTTTAGCATGTCTAAAAATGGACCAGACAATATCTAGAATAGAATGACAGTTTTTTCTTCTGCCACATGGGGATACTTTCGAGCTCACATGCAGCTGATCCTTGCTATCCATGCACAATACCATGAACTGGTGTGTGTGTGTGTGTGTGTGTGTGTGTTGCACGCGTGCTTCATTTTGACATCAAATTGTTATGAGGTTTGCACGGTTTTTTCATTTTTTTCCTCTAAAGATATGCCTTTTTTTTTTTTGTAAGTGCAGGGCATAATTAGCATGCATTGAACTATGATATATATGTTGAACATTATTCATTATTCATTATATGGTCTTTAGCTTGCCCAAGGAACTTACATTTTGTTGGCAAAAACAAAACAAAACAAAACTCCAAGAAAAGTTCCCATAAATCAAAAACGCCTCTAAATCCCTGCACTTTTAAACCCAGAATTCCTTAAGAGGTGGCATAGGGGCCAAGGTTTTATTTATTTATCTACTAAGGTTGTTATTTTATTTTTGAATTTTACTGTTTTATGGGTACATAAAGGTTTTATTTTTCCTAGCCCCTTCCCACACTCCGCTTACAGTTGTCACTGATGCTTAACTGCCCTGTGAGGAGGTCCTAGCAGTCTTTGGTGCTTTGGGTAAACAAAAGAAGCGGGAGGTAACAGCCTGCATTTGTCTTACTGAGCCTTTCAATGATTCTCTCCCAGACTCTTTTCTCCTCTTGGCCATCTTCACCTTGTGCCCACCGGATCCTTCCCTTCCCTCCCCTGGGTGCTTTCCTCAGATGCACCAGCCAGTCCTGCGGCTTATCATTCCTCCTGTCCGCTGGCTGAGCCCTTGCTTGCAGCATTCTGTCTGCCTGCAACTCGAAATACATTCCAAGATAGATTCCCAGAGAGCGTGGTCCTCCCAGGACAATCTGGCTGGAGCTGCCATCCTGGCTCACATGGGTTTTGACTGCATGTTATTGCCGTGGGAAGGAAAGTGTGCTCCAATCTTCCTTGTCACGGCCCCTTAGGGGAGGAAAAGAAATCCATTTACTAGGTGGTGGGAGTTCCTCTCTCCATCCCACTTTG